CTTTGGCACTAGAGTGAAAATCCGACAATGGAAGGACTGTGGCATTTTGATGAATTTTGAGTGTGCCTAGGGTTTTCTTTAAACCGGCCCCTTTCACTTTTCCAGCGCTTTCCCTGCGGAACTCAGCCGGTTCTACGAACACTTAAATTTTAAATGGCAAACAGCCCCCAGGGCAACCGTTCAGCCACGAACAGACCGTTTGATCTCTTTTGGACTACATACATACATATATATATATATATACATATATGTGTGTGTGTGAGCAGCTGGTTCGAACATCCCAAACCTTCAAATCATGTCAAATCAGCGACATAGAACTGGCAGCATCTGAAGCGGAGAAAAAAAAAGAGCAACTTATACAGATACAGCATGTAGAAACTCACCAGCCAAATCCCTCTGTAGAGATCTATGCAATGAGATCCTTTGTATGATTCTATATGCACCTGATTATTGTTAATTATATATATATGTATGTATAAATATATAGAAATTATATATTATATATGCGCATTCCAAATCTAGAATGACCTAGAATGGTTGTAGTATCCAAACTCCAAACATTACATCACCTCACCATCCTCACACCTCGGCTGTCCAAAGGGACTGTTTCACCATCGCTGGGCCTCGGCTGTTTCGAATTAAACAATGGATTTGGTGGATGTTGCATGGGAAAAAGATGGAAAACAACTGATCCAAATTGATCCAAATTGCAGTAACAAAATTCAGGGATGGAGAATAATTATATAATGCAACCACATCTAACCACATGTTGTTTCTGTGCACTTGGGGATATACTTAGTGATATCTGGGTAAATCTGGGCCGGCCAATGCAATCCCAAACCGGGGGGAACAGCCACGAACACCGCATTTTCTCCTCGCGAAGCTCAGCTATTTTTGCCGACTTTTGCACCTGGGGAACCAGCGCAGCCAGGAGGGGGTGGCGGTTCTTACTTCAACTTATTACTGAGAAATACTGTTGTTGCTGTTGTGTGTCTTCCTGTTCTTATCTTACGAGATTTTGCTAATTACTCTTGTCATCATCTTTTCGATATTCTTCTGGTGGTGGTTGTGGTTGTGGTTGTTGTTGTTGGTGGTGGTGGTTTAATCAGTTGCTGCTCTTTTATTTATAGCTTAGCCCCGTCCCTGGGGACAAATGACCAACAGCAGAATTAAGCAGGGGCGGATTCTCCCTTGAAAAAAACCTGCCCGCGGCCAAACTCTCCAACCATCTCCAACCTTTGCTTCGCCAACTTGTTGGAACTGCGGCATCTCTGCTGTTCCCTATCTCTTGGAAGATATGGGGGTACCTTTCAGCCAGTGGGTTTCACAGTATGCCTCCCACCTCGATGCCAAGCAAGATCTCGTTGAGCTGCTTCACCATCTGGGTGCCGCTGCAAGAGCCATACCCAGGGGGCTGAAGGTGATGTCATGGCCACTGGAACATAGCTATACCCAGGCATACCCAAGCAATAACCGAGTTTGTCCGAACATAGGGCCATAGGGTAACCCAGAATCTCAAGAATCTCATGGCAAATGATTATGTTCCCATTGAAAGGGTCATTTTGGTTGTATCCCCCTTTTTTGGACCAGCCCAACTATTATGGGCCGCATCAAGAGAACCTAACTCAGTTCCATACGATGCCCGGTAATTCTGGGGTACAAGCGGTGTTCCTCAGGGGACCCTAAAACGAGACTTACCATCCACCCAAGCAACATAGATCATGCCAAATATATATATATATACACATAGGGGATTGCGATGATTGCAAGATGTATTTCCCCTCAAAGTAAGCATGAAAGCAATTCAACTGGGTAGGTGTGATGGACATGGCAGGGATTGATCCGGTTTGGTCTGAAACCCTTCGCTGATGTCCCGGAAGGTGCCTTCGGTAAGGCAAACCTTGCAGCCAATTTCAAACCTGTCGGCACTCGGATCCAGGTGGGATCTATGTTGCTGGGCACAGGAAGATACAGCTAGGTTTTCCTGGCAAAAAAGATGCAAAATGGGTACAGAAAATATATGAAAATATCAAGTAACTAGGGACACTGTGATCTGATATGATCCTACTTAAACGATTTAGATTTTCTGGGTACGCAACAGGCAACCCACTATTCACACCCTGCCAGGATAGGATGTGAATGAATATCATCACCCTGCCATGTGCCAGTCTTTGCCTTGCTGATGTGCAATGCTTGCTGGTTTCCGGGATGTGTTGAGCAAAAGAAATGCAGTGCTGTTCCTACTAACTCACCAGATTTGATTCCTGTCAATCAAGACGAATTAGATCGAATTAGGATGCAATATGGATATGTCTGGGTCAATAAATTGAACCAACGGATTAAAAGAACCGGCATCACATGGTTTTACTATAGGGTGGCTTTCCTAAAATGGGACAATTATCCCCAAAACAATGGGTTTCAATACCAAAATGGTCTAATTTGGATGATTTGGGGGTGACCCCATTTTAGGAAACCTCCATATACCCATTCAAAATCATTCCATTCTCCAAAATTCCTCCTTTTCACCTGCACGCTGCGACGGCAGGGTGGCCGGCTTTGCCACCATCTTTGTGCCATCGACGGGTGGTACAACCAACTGCAAATCGTTGGGGAACAAACAATAACCATTCTTGCGGTGTTCACCCATTTGAGAAATGTTAGAATTCACTATTTATAACAGTTCATTTTCGCGGAATAAACGAGATACGAAGATTCGAGAGGGAGCGGTCGATAATTTAGATTCATTGAGTTTGCCCCCCCAAAAATGGTTCAAATTTCCAGCGCAGTAATGAATATAATGAATAGTAAGGAATAATTAAACATAATTAAACCATCCAAAACTTTAAGAATGGCAAGGAAAGTCACAGGGCTGCTGAATCTCCCGCCCCTCACAGATGTTCTGGCTCTTCTGCCGCAGCAGGTAGGTCGAAAGGTTCTGGAAAGAACCCTGCCACCTGGTGAGGTTTTCAGGGCCCCTTTGGTCCAACTTGCAATGCCGGTTAAGAAAGAAACTGTGATGATTTATCATTTTTGGAAATGCAGTTACATCCAATAATTTACCGTCCACCTTTATTAATCCCAAAAAATTGATGCTTTGTTGACTGCGTAAAAAATGGGCAGATTTGTGGTTTCTTGTTGAACACGAATCGTGAATGGTGCAAATCCAAGACTGATAAGACTGTGCCTTGGAAACATTTCAGGATCGGAACCCCAGCATGAATCTTCACCCGTGGTCCCAACAAAATGGCCCCTACCTTCACAGAAATATGAGGGACATACTCTGAACATCTCAGAACTGCGCCAAGAGAACCGTTGATTGATGGTGATTGTCTATAATTACTAAAAATGTCTATATGTTTCATGGATGTGTTCAGATGCATGTGCATACAATCCATAATCATTTTGAGTTATGAGGATACCGTGGCCCGTGCCTCGTGATGATGACATCCCGTCATAGGAGTTTGCATTGCCAACAGTTCCTCCACACCTCTGGGTGGATCACCTCAGCAGTTGCAAGATCGGAGTTGCCCCTTTGGTGGATCCCAAATGGGTTAATTGATGTTAATTGAATATATGTATGTATATATATATCTTTATTTATTTATTAATTATTATAAGTCAGTCATCTATTTAGCATCTCCAAACGTTCATACCAAATACCCAGCCCATGCCGCGGCGAAAGTTTCGACAATTTGCAATAACTATATACGAAAACTCCTGGCCTATAGGAACGTTTTTGAGATGCAGAAGTAATGAATTGTTGACGTCGTGGCGTGCATCAAGGAATGAGCAAATGGGGTTGAGATGCGAATGAAATGACGTGAAAGAATCCATGCACAACTGACCGGATGAACCAATGAATCAATGAACCATGTGAATGTGAAATAGTCAGACGATGAATCAATGAATCAACGAGTCAGTGAATGAATGAACAAATAAAATAGAAATGAAAATGACAATATGAATGAATGAATGAATGAATGAATGAAGGAATGATGGAATGAATGGAATGAATGGAATGAATGAATGAATGGAATGAATGAAATGAATGGAATGAATGGAATGAATGAAATGAATGGAATGAATGAAATGAATGGACTGAATGGACTGAATGAAATGAATGAAATGAATGAAATGAATGAAATGAATGAAATGAATGAAATGAATGAAATGAATGAAATGAATGAAATGAATGAAATGAATGAAATGAATGAAATTAATGAATGAATGAAATGAATGAAATGAATGAAATGAATGAGATGAATGCAATGAATGCAATGAATGAGATGAATGCAATGAATGCAATGAATGCAATGAATGCAATGAATGCAATGAATGAGATGAATGAGATGAATGAGATGAATGAGATGAATGAGATGAATGAGATGAATGAGATGAATGAGATGAATGAGATGAATGAGATGAATGAAATGAATGAAATGAATGAAATGAATGAAATGAATGAAATGAATGAAATGAATGAAATGAATGAAATGAATGAAATGAATGAATGAATGAATGAATGAAATGAATGAAATGAATGAATGAATGAATGAATTGAAATGAATGACTGAATGACTGAATGAATGAAATGAAATGAAATGAAATGAAATGAAATGAAATGAAATGAATGAAATGAATGAAATAATGAATGAATGAAATGAATGAAATGAATGAAATGAATGAAATGAATGAAATGAATGAATGAAATGAATGAATGAATGAATGAATGAATGAATGAATGAATGAATGAAATGAATGACTGAATGACTGAATGAATGAAATGAAATGAAATGAAATGAAATGAAATGAATGAAATGAATGAAATAATGAATGAATGAAATGAATGAAATGAATGAAATGAATGAAATGAATGAAATGAATGAAATGAATGAAATGAATGAAATGAATGAAATGAATGAAATGAATGCAATGAATGCAATGAATGCAATGAATGCAATGAATGCAATGAATGCAATGAATGCAATGAATGCAATGAATGCAATGAATGCAATGAATGCATAAATGAATGCAATGAATGCAATGAATGCAATGAATGCAATGAATGCAATGAATGAGATGAATGAAATGAATGCAATGAATGCAATGAATGCAATGAATGCAATGAATGCAATGAATGAGATGAATGCAATGAATGCAATGAATGCAATGAACGCAATGAATGAGATGAATGAGATGAATGAGATGAATGAGATGAATGAGATGAATGAGATGAATGAGATGAATGAGATGAATGAGATGAATGAGATGAATGAGATGAATGAAATGAATGAGATGAATGAAATGAATGAAATGAATGAAATGAATGAAATGAATGAAATGAATGAAATGAATGAAATGAATGAAATGAATGAAATGAATGAAATGATTGAAATGAATGAAATGAATGAAATGAATGAAATGAATGAAATGAATGAAATGAATGAAATGAATGAAATGAATGAAATGAATGAAATGAATGAAATGAATGAATTGAATGAATGAATGAATGAATGAATGAATGCATGAATGGATGGATGGATGGATAGATAGATAGATAGATGGAAGGAGGAGTGAGCTACTTCTTTGTTGAGCTACTTCTTCACTGAGCAACCTCTTCGCTGAGGTACCTCTCTCTCTCTCTCCCCTCGCTGGGCGTACCTGTCTATCTGATCGCTTCACAGAGGCGCCCGGTGAACTAGAGATCAAGGCACTTCAGCCCAGGCCAACTGCAAGGTATGAAGCTGAACAAAATGAAGGAATACAAGGTGAAATGCGATCATCTGCCTGGAGGCATGGACCTCTTGTCTCAGCTACTTCTTCTTTGAGCAGCCTATTATCTGGGCCACTTCTTCACTTCTCTGAACCTGCTAGCGAGCTGCCTCTGAGCTAGCGCTTCTGTATAGCTTCTGCAACCCAATTCTTCAATTCGCGTGGCTGTTACACTTGCGTTTAGCAACCTCCAGCTGCAATCCCGCTTGCCAGGAGCGCCGCGGCATCACTGAATGATCTGAACGCTTTGCTGCGCGCAGCCGTGCCAATGCGTTTTGTCATAGCCAGCTGCAAACCCGCATAATCGGGGAGGACTCCATGCTACAATACTCAGTGCATTGCCTTTCTTTACGATTTTTTCGTGAAACCGAGCTCTCGCTACAGTCTCGTACACTTTTTTCTGACCTCGTCTTACCAAAGTGCGCCGACACCGCCAGTTGTTAACGTTTTGAAGTGCAAATCGAGCTCTCGCTACAGTGCTGCGCACCTTTTGTCAACAAATTTCCCCAATCGAGGCCCGCAACCGCGGAAACAGATACCCTACTTCGGCGACCCCAGAAGCCACATTAAAAACGCAGGGTTTCGCGCCCGAGAGTGCTTTCACCCGTGAATTCGCACGCTTCCGAACTGTTACACTTCCCAACTACTTAGGTGGTTGACATGATGATGTGGTTGACATGACGGTATGAATGCTAACCATGACCATCGTCCGTAACTCGGAAGTTTTCAAACTAAACTTCCTTTGATATCCTTTGATTATATACTGTTCTTATTTTTATTGACCGTTTCATACGATGACACCATATTGATCCATACTGCTTAATTCAAATCCCATTCCACTGTGCAATGGGGAAACTCCTACCAATGCTCACAACAGGGAGAAACACCAGAGAGAACCAGACTTTGCCCCATGTTCAATGACCAGAGTCAGTCATGAAGAAGGACACCAGGGAATCATACATAACTCAGATTCCACCTTCGATAGTTGCTGGAGCAAAGATTCTTCACTCAAATATATGTATATATATATAATATAAATTAAACAAATATAATTATATATATATATGATCGGACACCGTGGCAAGCCAGTGGGAATATCATGTGCTCTACTGCTGTTGCTTCATGCTTATGTTTTCGTACTTGCCACAAAATCGAACGTATGGGTACTGTAAGTCATACGGTCATACATAAAGAAACACGGATTGCACTACCGAAACGCCATGTCAGACATGGAAGTATTTAGTCCCAAAATCACCTGGGTTCTCCCCCATTCGTTCTCCATTCGATACACTAATTTGTGTGAGATCCAGTGTTTTGCAGCGAATTGGTATTTCAGGATTTCAAGGAAATCTGCGGGAACTCCTGACCAAATTGGGAGACCAGCCAGTCATTTTCCTATAGATTTTCTCTTCGAATCGATCCAAGCTACGTGCAAAGGTGAGCCAACCGCGACGACGGCACACAGCCAGAAGCCCATGAAGACCAACCCCCAGCACCTGCGAGTCCAAGGTGGGTTTGTCTAGAAATTGTAGTGGTTAGTATACTCCCAAATGATCATTAACTGCCTAGTTTTAGAGGGACACAACAATTCTTCCATGTGTGTCTCCCAATCTGAAGTCACAACTTTGCGGAATTGCGTGCTGAAACAATTGCAACCGTTATGCAGCAAAACCAGATTCAAAGGAAAACAAATGATCTATACAACACATATATAAGGGCATATATAATACATATATAATTAATTGGAAATATGGGCAGCCTTTTTGCACAGAAAGAATCCGGAACAGAATGTTGACTTGGCAACTTGCCTTGATATACCATCTCATCTCCCCCATCTGCCAGAGGCACGGGAGCGGCAATGAGGCAAGTCATCTGCCGCCAGTCGCCCCGGATGAAAGGCAATGCTAATAGCACGAAGCAAAACCTCAGATGAGCCATGTTCTAGATTGTATATAGGCTCAATCGTGGCTTAATTTTACCATATTTTACCCGTATAGTACCGTATAGCCCGTATAGCCTATACTCAGATCCCACCTCGGATGCCACGGAAACCAGAGGATTGGTGGATTTGCGGCAAGAACCCAATGATGTTGGTGTTTCTATCCTTTCCACAGGCAATGTCCACGACTCCTCTTTCTGGAATTCAGGAAATGAAATCATGGCAGCATAGCCCACCATGGGGACCCAAAGCCACTACTTATTGGGTTGCATTTTGACCAATGAGGTCGAGCTGTTCCCCTACTCGGCGTTGGTCATTGCTTTTTGTGGACTTGGGCGTGTCCGTGGAATGAGGGCCCAAAAGAAGAATCCGAAGCAATTTCTTTGTGTGGTTTTGAATCATGGCCAAATCTATGGACCCATCCGTGCCCCATTTTTGGTCACCGTCCCTCTACAGATTCAAATTGTGCCCTGGATTTCCTGGACACCGCAGCTTCGCCAGGCAGCACAATGGGCAAGAAAAGCATGGCAATGCAGCTGCTGAGGGACGTCAACCTCAGGTAGGGGATGATCCCATCAAAGGATGCTGGGAACCACTGGGAACCACTGGGAACCACTGGGAACCGCACGGAACTCGGAAGGGCCGTGGTAACTTGGGATGGGCCCGACGTAGCTGCAGAAATGCCTCGGCCATCAACTAGTTGCTGCACCAGTTGAGGGTGGGTACCAGTCCGGATCCATTGTACACAAGATGGACGGCGGAAATAGTTTGAGCAGGGTTCTTTTCCCTTTTCTTTCGGGGTTTCTAAAATTGTAGTACCTGGTGCCGTTTCATCCCCTAACGTTCAGCAGCTCTGAAGATGGCAGCTGCCAGTAAGATTGTGTACTGTATTTGTCACCAGCAGCTGCTGCAGTCACACGAAAGGGGATGTTTGGTGATGTCAGCCCATCTGGCAAAAGCAATCAATTGCATGCACCTTTGACACATTTGTGAGTTCTTTAATAATATGATGATTCACCATGAGCCACCCATAGAGATTAGAGATGACATGGAACTCCTGTCCTGCCAGCCAAATGCTCTCTGACACTCAGTTCTTCCCTCCATCTTCATCCAAGACACCAAGAATTCCAAGAGCTGTGCCTGGCAATAGATTCCTTGGCACCCAGCTGAGCACAGAGTCCCAATTGTACCCACTTGGGAGTTGGCACTGCACCACTGAAAGGTCCTCAAAGACAACAAACTAGGAGCCTCTGGATCCCGTTCAGTGTCGTTTCGTGGGCATCGGTCATTTCACCACTTGCACCCCGGCGCCAAAGTACTCACGTCAAAGAAATGCACAGAATAGACTGACTATCTATGTTGTGACTTCATCTATTCCCTTTCCACTACTGTAATTTACTCCAGATATTTTGTATTGGCCCTCAGTCATCCCCAGCTATCCTCACTTCGTCACCTCCGACCCAACACCGCCACTTTTCCTACGCCGTGCCATCTTTGCCCAACAGCTCCACTGGCTCTCAGCATTCTCAGCAAATGGCAGGTGCGCAAGATGCGATCTTGGGCCAAAGCTCTGCGCACTCCTTCGGGCTCACAAGGAAAACAAGCTAAAAATAGCATGCCAAGACGTGAGTTGGAAATTGCTTGCCTATTGTCCAAAGCCATTTGTTTAGTCTTGAGGGCTTGCATTTCAAGCTAGTTTCTACGTCATTCCCGAGACCTTGTTGCAATTTTCCAATGTTCTAGGTCATTTAGGCATGGTCTGAACCACTCATCCGCCCCTCTCCTTGGCCACAGGGCCCTGAATTGCCGAACCCTTCCTGAGCCAAGCTCCAGGCGGATTAAAAACTGCAAGCATCAGTCCCCTCTGGACTAATCCAGACATGTGAAATTACATTGTTTTATGGAGAACATGATGGTGTACAGTTTTGCCACTGCATCAAATATCCACCCAGGCACAAGGGCCAAGTATCGGATCTGTTTATTTTGGGGGCCCACTTAGGATCAGCTGAGGGGAAAATCAAGAAAAGGGTGAAGACACTGGTTCACTCACATCATCTGTCAAAAGCGGCACTGGATACCCTGACCCTCACAAGCACTAACAAACCTATCTGAGGCACTTACGTGTGTGTGTGTGTGTCGTCTGTGATTGTGATTGTGATGAACTCAAATCCACTTTCCATGCAGAGAATTGACCTGGAGGTTCTCTGCAGGTTGTATTAACAGAGCGGCCGTGTTCAAAACCATTTTGGAATATTGCATTCATGGCTGCTTGCAGCTGAAAACGTGGATTAACTTGACTACATCCTACAGCACCCCCCAACTTAAACTGCAAAAAGTGGGAAGCCCCTTGAAACTCTCCTTCAGAGCTGAACATTTGTTTTCCAGAAACAAAGCACCATCAAATAGAACTAAGTGGCCAATGCATCCTCCATGGCACCATCCATTGGATCCATAGCACTATGGCGCACCATTCATGGCACCATGGCGTTGGCTCACAACTAACTGTTACTAAATCATCCAAGTTTCATCTCACCCTTGTCGTTGACGATGACCCCGGCATTGTCCTCGAAGTATACGAAGACTCCCTCACGGCGGCGCCAGGCCTGACAGTAGTCATAGCGTTCTTGAGAGTGCCAAGCTGATCATTACATGTCCATGATTGGCACAAGTACTGTACCCTATCCTATCAGAATATAATCAAAGGAAGTTTAGGGGGAGAAACTTCCGTGTTACGGACTTTTAGGAATGTCAGGGAAAGAGTTAGTCAAAGAAAGAGTTAGTGAGGGAAAGAGTTAGTCAAACAAAGAGGTAGTCAAAGAAACAGTTAGTCAGGGAAAGAGTTAGTCAAAGAAAGAGTTAGTGAGGGAAAGAGTTAGCAAAGAAACAGTTAGTCAAGGAAACAGTTAGTCAGGGAAAGAGTTAGTTAAAGAAAGAGTTAGTCAAAGAAAGAATTAGTCAAAGAAACAGTTAGTCAGGGAAAGAGTTAGTCAAAGAAAGAGTTAGTGAGGGAAAGAGTTAGTCAAAGAAAGAGTTCGTGAGGGAAAGAGTCAGTCAAAGAAAGAGTTAGTGAGGGAAAGAGTTAGTCAA